GACACTCAGAGAGGCCACCCTGCATCTGGAGGGGTGGGTGTATCTTCTCAAAGTCAACACTCCAAACATCACGCGTGTTTTACAGAGGAGAGAGGGAAGTGGTAGCGGGGCTGGTCTCTGACTGCTCTGTGCTGTTCCCCATTAGGAGATCGAGCGTCGACGTGGGATGATGCGTCAGCGAGCGCAGGAGAGGAAAACAGAGGAGATGGAAGTGATGGAGTTGGAAGATGAGGGTCGGTCTGGAGAAGAATCTGAGTCAGAGTCCGAGTATGAGGAGTACACGGACAGCGAGGATGAAATGGAGCCACGTCTCAAACCTGTCTTCATACGCAAGTAGGTGACACGGTTGCACGGGCCGGCCCTGGCAGGGACTCGGGAGTGACAAGCTCGGGGCTGAGCAGACCCCACTGCCGTGGTCCCTTCCTCGCCATGGGGCAGCCGTTTGCCTCCCCCAGGTGGGATGGTCACAGCCTGGCAGGGCATAGCTGAGGAGCGAGAGGCGATCCCTGTACCCACAGCCCCTCATTGGCTGTGTTGTGTCACTGCGGGATCACGCTGTGGAGTCTGAGCGGAGCCCTTGGGTGAGGGCTGTACAGTGGCAAAGGGATGTGGTAGCCCCGAGAAAGGGGAGAGGCCCAGGGCTCGGCCTGTGCTTGCAGAGGGCAAAGGCTGAAAGCGGCCTCGGTGCGGCCGTGGTGCAGGAGGGGATGGAGTCAGCAGGGGGCCAGGCAGCTGCGGTAGGGCTGAAGGCTGTTGTGGTCCTGCTCTCAGGAAGGACCGGATCACAGTTCAGGAGCGAGAAGCGGAAGCCCTGAAGCAGAAAGAGCTGGAGCAGGAAGCAAAGAGGATGGCAGAGGAGAGGCGCAAGTACACACTCAAGGTACGGAGGGTTGGGCTGGGGGCTGCGGGGGGCAATCACTGCAGCAAGTTTAGCTTGGACCTCGCTCCAGATCGTAGAAGAGGAAGCAAAGAAGGAGCTGGAAGAGAACAAACGCTCGCTGGCAGCACTGGATGCGCTTGATACAGATGATGAGAATGATGAGGAAGAGTATGAGGCCTGGAAGGTCCGTGAGCTGAAGCGCATCAAACGGGACCGTGAGGAACGAGAAGCGTAAGTATTGTCTGTGTAGACACAAGGCTTAGAGCCCACAGGCTCCTCTAAAGAAAAAGCACCTTTTCCTCAGGCTGCCCTTTGGCAGCAGGGTCCCAGCTGGACCAAGTGCCCAGAGCCCTTCCTGCTTGGTCTCCCCCGTCCCTCTAGTCCCACTAATCCCTCTAGTCCCACTAATCCGTCGTACTTGCCCTCAGGGCACCTTTGCTCCCTGACAGTAAATGTGTAACCTCTTGGGTGGTAGCTGGTGACAGCTGCTGTCCTGGGAGCTGCCCTGGGGATGCGGGATCTCAGCGGCTTCTCTCTCACCCAGCATGGAGAAGGAAAAGGCGGAGATCGAGCGCATGCGGAACCTGACAGAGGAGGAGCGCCGAGCTGAGCTCCGGGCCAACGGCAAAGTCATCACCAACAAGGCAGTGAAGGGCAAATACAAGTTCCTGCAGAAGTACTACCACCGTGGCGCCTTCTTCATGGTGAGTATGCCAAGGGCTGGGCATGACCACAGGGGCTGTGCCAGACCCCAGGGCCACCTTTTTGCTCTGGGGAGCCTCCCCTATCCTGCAGTGCTCTGGGGCTGAGGTTGCCCTGGGACAAGAGCCAGCCCTCAGAGGCATCATGGGGCTGAAGCTGACTCAGCATGACCTCACCAGCCCCGTCAGGTTGAGGGTTCCCAGCTGAGATGAAGTCAAAGCTGCAGAGCTGTCCCTGTGCTGCTGTCTGGGCCACAGACCCAGCCAGAACCAAGCTAGCTCCATTTGGGCTATGACCTGCGCGTTGGAGAAGTGGCCTGGGGGACAACGCTCACATCCCCCCCTCCAGCAGTAGTTAATAGGGCTGCAAGTACTATGGCAGCCCTGGCAGAGCAGCGATACAAGCTGTGGGCAGCTCCTCCACTTCTGCTGGTGCTGGCCGGAACCTTTGAGGCTGAGCAGACATGTCCTTTTTCTGCAGGATGAGGACGAGGAGGTGTACAAGAGGGACTTCAGTGCCCCGACCCTCGAGGATCACTTCAACAAGACCATCCTGCCCAAAGTCATGCAGGTGGGTGCATTGGCAGAGGGTGCCCAGCCCACGTGCCAGGCCAAAGGGTGGGGGTTCTGGGCAGGGGGGAAGCAGCGGGTCCTGCAGCCACCCTGAGCAGCTGCTCACGAGCTCTCTGCTCCCCAGGTCAAGAACTTTGGGCGCTCAGGGCGGACCAAGTACACGCACTTGGTGGACCAGGACACCACCTCCTTTGACTCTGCCTGGGGCCAGGAGAGTGCACAGAACACCAAGTTCTTTAAGCAGAAGGCAGCAGGCGTGCGGGATGTCTTTGAGAGACCCTCAGCCAAGAAGCGAAAAACCACCTAAGGGCACGGGCAGGAGGGTCTGGCGTGGCTGATGCTGGCAGGAGGGCACTGCCCTGCCAGCTGTCGGAGCCTGGGCAGGGACAGAAGGGACTCGTGCTCGGACTCCTGTGGTGACAAGCTCTTCTTCTGCCCGTGCTGTGCCTGCCCTGATGTGGTGTCCCGCTCCCGGTGCTGCATAGACCAGGTGGGCTCCTTGCCTGTGCACTGTAGAGGACAATGGTCTGTGATGCTGGCCAGGCCAGGCCTGTGGACAGACCATGTCCCACCAGCTGCCAGTCTGTAGCCTCAGCAGCGCCCAGCAGGGCGTCCAGGAGTGCAGCAGTACCCCTAGATCCAACACACCCACTTCTGGAGAAACGAGAGGACTTTTGTACCCATCTGTTCCACAACACCTCCCCTTTTCTTGTACTGTCCCTGGTGTCAGTCTGGGCCCTGTTTTGGGGTGGGCAGCGGTGACCCTGTCTCCTTACCCTATTCCTGCAAGGTTTGGCTTTTCTACCTGTCTGGGGTGGGGGGGTTTGATTAAAGATGATTTTTCTTACACGCTCTGGCCCTATTGTTCTTACAGACATGGCCACGTGGTTCTGCGCCTTCCTGCGAGCTAGGGTGGGCACCAGCCTGGGCAGGGCATGCACAGGTGGCTGTCACTGCTGCCTCAGGCCTGTGCCTGGGCCTGTGAAGCCCCAGGGGGGTGAGGTTAAAAGAGGGGAGTGCAGCAAGTGTTGGTGCTCAGGCAGGTCACCTTGTCCTGCTCCAGTCACGGGTGTGCCCAGCCAGTACTGCCAAAGTGATGCCACACACATCTTCCTGCAGGCTGGGCCCTGCCTGTGGGTCCCAGGAGCCCTGTGGGACCTGCTGGGCAGGTCCTGGCACTGCGCAGACCACAGAGACAACCCAGTCCCACCAGTGCCTTTATTGGTGCAGTGAGAGCCATGCCCGTGGCCCGGCTCAGTTGGTGAGGGTGATCAGGGCCTCTACCACGTTGCCCATGTGCTCGCGCAGGCTGCGCTCCGCTGCAGCCCGGGAGATCTCCATCTCTGTCATCTGCAGGGAAACCACAGCCCGGTACAGCAGCTGCAGGGCCCCACGGGCTGGGCAGGGGGCGGTGGACGGCAGCTGCCCGGCAGGACACCTACCCGGCCTCAGGGCACGCGTGCACCAGCCCCCTCCGTGGGTGCAGTTTCACCCCCAGGTTTGGGACACGACACGGCTCACCCGGCGCCCCGCCTCTACTCACAATCAGCTCCAGGTCCTCCTTCTTGATGGTCACTTTTGCCAGTTCTTTCTCCCTGCGACAAGAGACGAACAAACCTCCGATGATCGACAGCCCTCCCCGGTCACTGCCTCGGCGCAGCAGTGCGGGGTGTGCGCTGAGAGGGGGCCGGGGCCGGTCCGGTCAGACCGGGAAGTCGCGGGCCGGTGTCCGGGTGGGCACTGCCCCCAAGCCCCGAGCGAGCGTGGGCTGTTACCTCTCCTGCTTTGCTTTCTGCTCCCGGGATCTCCGGTCTCCGATCACCGACATGGCCTGCCAGAACGAGCGCAGTCACCGCGCTGCGCGGCACCGGGCGGGTCAGCGCCGCACCGGCGGCACGGGCACGGGGACCGGCACCGGGACGGACGTGCAGGCTCGGTGCTCAGGGCCCGGCTCGGCCCCACTGCAGGCGGTGCCCAGCCCCCCACCCCGTCCCGGTCCCGGCCCCGTCCCGCCGCCGCACCGTCTCCAGGTTGGAGCTCTGGATTTCCTTCTCCTCCGCGTAGTCCGTGACGCGCTCCAAGTCCGCCGCGCCGCTGTCGTGCTTCCGCGGCTTCTCGGCCGCACGCCCGCCCGCCCCATCGCTGCCGCCGCCGGAGCCGTTCGGCTCCGTCTCCAGCTCCAGCTCCACGTCTCCCTCCGCCGCCATCCCGCCGCCGCCGGGAGCCGCTTCCGGTCACGTGCGCCGCCGGCGGAGCTAACGGGAGGCGCGCGCTTAAAGGCGATGAGGGGGGGCCGGGACCGTCTTCGGCCCTCGCCCCGCCCCTCCACCCGGCCTGGCCCCGCCCTCTGGTGCCCGCCGGCGGTTCGATCCCTCCCGGTGCTCCCCGGGCGGTTCGATCCCTCCCGGTGCTCCCCGGGCGGTTCGGTCCCTCCCGGTGCTCTCCGGGCGGTTCGGTCCCTCCCGGTGCTCTGGGCGCTCCGGGGCCGGTGGCCCCGGCGCTGCCGAGACGCGGAGCTGGGCCGGGCGGGCGCAGCCCCGCCGCCGCCCTCTGGTGCCCGCCGGCGCTAAGCCGGGATTACTGGGTCAGCGATCCCGATTTGGCTCCCGCCGCTGCCACACGGATGATCGGACGGGCCCGGCCGCAGCGAGGCCCTGGCCGGGTTTCGGGCGCTGCCAGAGGCGGGAGGCGGCCGGGCCGTGGCCTTGCGCCCCCGAGCTCGGGGTGCGCTGGGTCAGCGGAGGCCGCACCGGCAGCGCGGCCCCGGCTGGCGCGGATACGGCGGGTCCGCCCCCGCCGCTCCCTTCCCGCCCGGGTGTTACTCACCCACCCGATGGGGACACCGCGTCCCTCGGACCGGGCTGCGTGCGCAAAGCCGGAACGGCTGCGGAGCAGCCGAAGGAAGGTGACGACAGCCCCAGCATAGGGCTCCCTGCACGCCGTGGCTCGTCCCCAATCTCCTGCCGACACTGGGGGTTCCCGCTCACCGCTGGATGTGCCTTATGCCATCCCCCTGCCCTCGTGGTATCCGTGTCCCTTGGGTGCCTCTGTGCCTGGGGGTGCTCCAGACCCCCAGTACCCCCACACTCCCCAGCTCCTCCGCACAGACCCGGGGCATTGCTCTGGGATCAGGGTTACATCATCGGCAGACCCCACGTGCCCCCCAAGCCCGCCCATGCCCAGGCCGGCTTCCACGGCCTCGTCCTGCCCAGTGAGGGGCCGGGGTGCGGGCAGGACTGCCCATGGCCGGGGATCACTGGACACTGCCCACGGAGCGTCCCAGGGGTGGCTGCCGGGAGGGAGCAGCGAGCAGATGGCAGGGCGGGCCGAGCCGACAATCCTCTAATCCCATCAGCGCCGCGGGGGCTGAGCAGAGCCGAGCCGGGCCATGGCGGGCACACGGGCACACGGCTACCTCCTGCACCCGCTGCTCTCCCAGGTGGGACTCGGGGCCTGGCGGGGCTGGGAGTGGGGCTGGGAGCGGGGCTGGGAAGGGAGGAGATGCCGGGCCAGGCTGGGGGGCAGTGCTGGCCCTGCGGGATCCTCGCTGACCGTGCTCCCCCCCTAGCTGTGCTGCGGTTGTCATGGGCTCCGCATGTCCACGAACACGCGGATCCTCTACACACTCCTGCATGTCCTGGCCTCTGCTGTGTGCTGCCTCATGCTGTCCCGCACTGTGGCCCAAGCCATCACAGAGAAGGTGACAGCAGGAGCTGGGAGTGCTGGGGGTCCCCTGGGGTGATGAGGGTCTCAAGGATACCATTAGTGCTGGGGATATGGGGGTGCCAGACACCCTGGGGCACCCAGGGGCATCCAGGAGAGCACTGGGGGTGCCAGAATTGCCAGGGAGTCAGGAGTACTGGGTTGCTGGGGATAGTAACAGGGCTGCTGGGAGTGACAAGGGTGCTGGAGGTGTCAAGGGGGAAGGGGTGCAAGGAGTACCAAAGATGCAGGGTGTTGGGGGTCCCAGGGTTACTGGGAATGCTGGGGATATCAGAAGTCTGGGTGCACTGGATGCCATGGGTCCTGGAGGGTGCTGGGTGGAAGCACCAGCAGCCCTGTCCTGTCACCCACCATGCCTGCAGGTGCCCTTCTCCGTGGTGCTGTGCCAACACCTGCCTGGGGGCACAGACTGTGAGCGGCTGGTGGGCTCCTTGGCCGTGTACCGGGTCTGCTTCGGCACCTCCTGCTTCCACCTGGCACAGGCTGCCCTGCTGCTCAACGTGCGCTCGAGCTCTGACTGCCGCGCACAGCTCCACAACGGGTACGGGCAGGCCATGGGGCTGGCACAGGGTGTCCCAGGATGGGGCTGCCAGGGGCTCTGTCCCACTGACGTTCACTGCCCTGCAGGTTCTGGCTCCTGAAGCTGCTGGCACTGGTGGGCCTCTGGGCCGCAAGCTTCTTCATCCCGGAAGACAACTTCATCCAAGGTATGTCCCCCACCCCACCCAAGCTGGCAGCCCGGGCATCCCTCACAGCCCCCACCTGCCCTTAGCTATCCCCACCTCTGCCCTCTCCTCCCAGCCTGGCACTACACGGGTGTCTGTGGGGGCTTCGCCTTCATCCTCATCCAGCTGGTGCTGATCACGGCCTTTGCACACACCTGGAACAAGAACTGGTGAGTGCCAGGGTGCTGGGTGGGCACCCACCTGCTGCCACCACTCACACGCTCTCCCACAGGCTGACGGGCGCCGCGCAGGATAAGCGCTGGTACCTGGCCGTGCTGCTGGCCACGGCCGCCTTCTACACCCTCGCCTCTGCCGCCTTCTCCTTCCTCTACAAGTTCTACACCCACCCGGCCGCCTGCCACCTCAACAAGGCGCTGCTCACCATCAATGGCAGCCTCTGTGGCATCATGTCCTTCATCTCCATCACGCCCTGTGTGCGACTCAGTGGGTATCGCACGGCACAGTGAGAGTTGCCATGCTGGATGACCAGCTGCGTCCTGGGTTAGGGGTGCTGTGCCCCCCAGCTCAGGGCCAGCACTTGACCACTGGAGGAGAACCCATCTCCCCAGGGCTCCTGACAGCCCCTCCTGTACCTTGGTGCAGGGTGGGCAGGGGGGTGGCATAGGGGGCTACCCGGGGCCCAAGCAGAGCTCACCCACAGCTTATGGCACACCAGGGATTCCAGTGACACCTCTGTCCCCACCCCTGCAGAGCAGCCGCGGTCAGGGCTGTTGCAGTCCTCAATCATCAGCTGCTACGTGATGTACCTCACCTTCTCCGCGCTGTCCAGCCGTCCCCCGGAGAGAGGTGGGTGCCCCCCCCACCACCAGCAGCCCCCACCATGGTGCACTCCTGTCTCACCTCTGCATCCCCGCAGTGCTCTACAAGGGTCAGAACCTCACTGTCTGCTTCCCGGGGGTCCGGCAGGACGAGCTGCAGACAGAGGACACCACCGTCGCCGTGCTGGGCGCTGCCATCATGTATGCCTGCGTGCTCTTTGCGTGGTACGTATGCCCAAGGCACAGGGTGGGCAGGGCTCCTGCAGCACTGGCCCACCAGGCACCAGCTCTGCTGGGCACAGCCAGCCCAACTGGCACCACACAAGGACCCCCATGGCCAGCAGAGCAGGGAATGTCCCAAGGGGTGGCAGGACCAGAGCAGATGGGGCATTGGTGGGTGGGCAGGGGCAGCACAGGGACCCCAGGTACAGCACAGCAGGGGTCCTGCAGCTGTCGGGGATCCATGGGATGGGCTGAGGGCCTGGCACAAGGCAGTGGCTGCCTGTGTTATGATTTCTGTCTCTCTCCTGGGCACAGCAATGAAGCCTCCTACCTTGCCGAGGTTTTCGGGCCCCTCTGGATGGTCAAAGTCTACAGCTTTGAGTTTGAAGTGAGTACGAATGCAGCTGTGCCTCGTGTCCTCTTGCCACAGGCACCCCAGACCCACCACCCCAAGCCCTTGTCACAGTCCCAGCATGGGGGAGGTCTGTCCAGCCAAGCACAGGGGGCTGCCCAGAGCACACCCACCTGCCCCAGTGCAAAGGAGGGCTCAGCCCAGCCACCGTGGCCACAGGGCTGGGCAGCCACCACTCTGCTGTCCCTGCAGAAACCCTCCTGTTGCTTCTGCTGCCCCGAGAAGATGGAGGAGGAACTGAGAGGTGGGTGCAGAGTGCATGCAGGAAATCAGGCAGAGCCTGTGTCCTAGCCTGGGGGTGCCAGTGAGGGGGGCATGCAGGAGCTGCCGTGCCCCTGCGCTCTCCTAGGAACCGAGCAGACGTGTGAGCAAGTGGAGGAGAGTGCTAGGGGACAGTTCCTTGTCCAGGATGAGCAAGACCGGGTGGTCTACAGCTACTCAGCCTTCCATTTCGTCTTCTTCCTTGCCTCGCTCTACGTCATGATGACCCTCACCAACTGGTTCAGGTAGGGACCCACACTGCTGCCCAGCCTTCCCTGCTCTTGCTCCAGCCCTCTGTGCCAGGCCATGATGCTGTCACCAAGCTGGCGCCTGCTGGGGACGCGCAGGGCTCTGTGCCCACAGACCTGCACTGCTCCGGCCAATGACCAACAGCAGCCATGCAGTGCAATGAGGTCTGCAGGGCTGGAGGGTCCATGGCAGGTGGGACATGCCCAGGGATATGCGGCTGCTGGGACACAGGGTGACCTGGTGTCTGCAGCTGGCACAGGAACCCTGTCTCAGCATCCCTCAAGCACTCAACACCTGCCCTCTCCCACCAGCTATGAAAACGCAGTGCTGGAGACCACCTTCACGCACGGCAGCTGGTCAACCTTCTGGGTGAAGGTGTCCTCATGCTGGGCCTGTGTCCTGCTCTACCTGTGGCTGCTGCTGAGCCCCTTCTGCCTCCAGAGCTCCCCACAGCACCGGCGCAGCAGCACGGGGCCGCGCGTTGTGCGGCGACGACGTGCCCCGCAGCGCATCAATGTCTCCACATAGTCCCTGCCAGGACGAACTGTACCTGGGGCTGGTCCCTGCTGCACCCTGTGCCCTGGCACTGCCTAGTCCTCCTGGCCTCCCCTGACCCCCCATCCCAGGAGATGGTGGCATCTCAGAGCCTGAGGGGAACCTGGAAGGTGAATGCTTCCAGGGATACTAGCCCTGTGCTAAGCCAGGACCACCCAAGGGGCTGGAGCAAGCCAGAGGCAGGTGTTCAGCCTGGGTGCCCTGGCACCCGCAGGGTGCACTTAAGGAGCAGGGCTCTGCCTGGCCACCCCTGCCATGATGTGCTCACTGTAAATACCTCCTTCAATACATTTTTATACAAAACTCTGAGCTGAGCCTGTGCCATCACCCCACGCAGGCTGCAGCCATAGGGGGGAAAAATGGGGTGCCTGCAGCACCCCAGCACTGGCCACACAGCAGCCATAGCTGAGGGCACCTTCAGGGTGGCCATGCTGGAGAGGGGAGACAAGCAGGAGGTGCTGAGCACGGGCACTGCCCTGGGACTGCAGGAGGGTATTCAGCCTATTGCCACTGCTCCCAAGGAGGGCACAGTGTCAGCAGGCCACAGGATCGCAGCGGCCCTGGGCCCCCACCTACAGAGCAAACATGGTGGGGTGGCTCCCTGGGGCCCACAGCCCCAACTGCACCCAACAGGCCCCACACTGTGATGGTGGCAGTGGGTGCAGGATGGGGATCGACACACATCGCCAGGGCACCCACCAGCCTGGGGATACAGTGCTGCAGGAGGTGAGGGTGGCACAGCAGGGTGGATGCTGTTGGGGTCCAACTGATCCCAGTGCAGCAATGCAGCCTTTGTGGGGTCCCTGATGGAACAGTGGAGGCTGCAGTGCCCCAGGGCTGCCCCTCACACCTCTCCTTTCCCAGGAGATGCAGGAACCCACACGGGGCTTGGGGATGGGCAGCTGTGGCACCAGCTTGGGGACATCGGCCAGGTAGGGCTGGGGAGGGGGGTCCCTGCAGCCTCTGGCACCCAAGGACTTCTCAGTGTCCTGGACTGTGCAGCAGTGGAGACCCATCTCTCCCCGCCCAGAACACCGGGCCGCGTGCGGCATCTCCTGGCTGTTGCAGAGCTGAAGCAACTGAGGGGGGGTTTTGGGCGGACCCAGCAGCACAAGAGGTGGCACCATGGAGAGGGAATGGCAGGGCTGTCCCAGCCTGACAGGGCACCCCAATCCAGCAGCACTGCAGCAGGTGCCCACAGAGTCCAGCGCAGGTGGGGGGCTCTGCCACACCCCTGTACTGCAGGCAGGGCCCAGTGCCCACTGGGGAAGTGCTGCCCTTGCTTATCCATGCCGTGAGCATGGGCCGCTGGGCAGCCTACCTGGAGCCACCAGCGCATCCCTCCAGGCCCTTTGCTGGTACACACTGTGACACCGGGTGTCCTTGGGGCTCCCTAGGTGTCCCGATCCCACGCAGGCCCTGTGCCAGCTGCAGGCAGGACCCGTGGGGCCCTGCTGGGAGGATGCCAGGTCCCCACTGGGAGCATTGGCCTTTCAGGGAGGGTGGAGGAGAACTGGGCAGTCGCAAGCTACAGCCAGGCAGCAGCAGAGGAGCAGCCACTGAGATAACAGGGAATGTGTCCCTGCCCAGGGGTGCCAGTGCTGTGGGTACAGCCCTCCCTGGGCCAGGCCCAGCTGCTCTCTCATGCCAGGATGGTGAGCAGGAGCCTCTGGGAGAGCAGCAGCAGCCATGGCTCAGCCCAGTGGCATGGGCCTGTGGCAGCAAGCCCTGCAGACCTGGGGCATGGGGGCTGTCATCCATGCAGGAGGGGAGGGAGCAAGGGCAGGGGAGCTGTGTGATGTCACCGCCCCTGCGCAGGGCAGGCTGGCTTGGTTCCCCTCACTTGCCCCACCAGCACCGTGGCTCACAGCACACAGGGATCTGCATGAGCCCCTGGAACTGGAAGCCACACAGCCCTCACCCTGGCAGTGCTGAACACCCTCTGCTCTGCAGAGGAACTGCAGCAGGTGAGCAATGGAGCACAGAGGGGCAGCATCGCTGCAGCCCCTCCCTCAGCATTACCCTCTGCACAGAAAGGACGACAGCTCCCCACATCCCCGTCTCCCCAGCGCAGCCTCCCAGGCAGACAGGGTGGGCTGCAGCAGTGCTGGCCTTGGACAGCTGCAGAGCTCAGCCTCCAGCATGGACAGAGCCTCCTCACTCAGCAGTGTGAGCAGCCACAAGTCAGTGGATGGGCCTTGCCCCAGCTCCCACCAGAGCATTGAGGCAAGGGACCTGCCCCTGGCCCAGAGAGGGACACAGGTCTGCTCGCCTGCAGCTCCTGGGTTCGGGCCCCTACTGTAAACATATCACCCAGCAGGCCCCCAGCTCCTCAAAGTGTGAGGCAGAGGGACCCCAGAGCACTGCCAGATGCTTCGCAAAGAGGAAGCTTCCTGCCTTCACCCCAGGGGTAACCAGCACACCCCATGTGATCCAAAGGGCCAGGCTGGGGGAGCTGAGCACACTCCTGTGCTATCGCCCAACGCCCTTGTCTCAGCAGGGGTGTGATAGGAGGGAGGGACCCATGCCCCTCTGTCCCATATATCAGCTGGTGCTGGCAGGGGATGGGGACACGGGAAAGTCCAGCTTCCTACTGCAACTCTGCATGAACAAGTTCTAAGGAGACATCCCCAGCACCCTCGGTATGAGCCCCCAGCACCACTGACTCCACAGCTGGGGCAGAGGAGCAGGGCCCTCCTGGCAGGAGTGGACTTCCAGATCAAGCAGCTGCTGGTGGATGGGGAGCAAACCACACTACAGATCTGGGACACAGCTGGGTAGGAGAGGTGAGAGCGCAGGGCCAGGGGTCCCGGGGCTGCACCAGGGTTCCAGCAGCTGCACCACACCAGGCAGTCACTGCACCAGCAGCAGCCCGCGGGCAGCACCTGGCCATAGTGAACAGAAGGTTCCTGGGGCCCCTGGGGCAGCCGAGCCCCGACCCCTGCTGCCGCCCCCAGGCCCACGGCTGCCTCTTCTGCAAGACTAGCGCCAAGGACGGCACCAACGTGGTGGAGGCGGTGCTGCACCTCACCCGGTGAGGAGCCCCCGGCCGCCGCGGGACCGGCCGCGGGACCGGCCCCGTGCTGCCAGGCCGGGCTGACGCTGCTGTTCTGCCCCTGCAGGGAGGTTAAGAGGACGATGAACAACGGCCTCAGCGCTAGGCTGGACCTCGGCTTTGCCCCGCGCTGCTGCCGGGCATAGCGCGGGGAACGGGCGGCTACGGCTCGGCCCACCCCGGCCGTGCCGCAGCGCGGTTCTCCGTCGGTGCGCAGGCCCGGCCGCCATCTCTCCACCACCGCCCTCCGACTGGCCCCGAGCCCCGGCTGCGCCTCGGCCCGCTCCGGCGCCATCCCGTCCGGCTTCGTTCCTCGAGCCTCTCCGCTCTCCTACCCTCCCCGGGGCGTTCGCCCCTCAAACCCATCCCCCGCGTTGACCCCCGGTGATGTCCCAGGGACCGCCCAGGCCCGGCCCCACCTTTGTTCCTCACCGCGAAGATGCCGCCGCTCCACCACCGCCGCGCTTGGTCCTTCTCTCCGCGGCCGCGATCGCTTCAGCGGTGGTGCCCGCTCCCCCCCGCCCCCCGCCCGGCGGACGGACGAGCAGACGCGGCGTGCAGGGCTCCACAGCTACTTTAATAGGGGACAGCGCCGCGCGGTGCGGGGCGCGGCCGGGGGGCCCGGCCCAGGGCGGTGCGGGGCATCCTGCCGGCGGGACCGGCCCTGGGGCGGCGGCCTGGCACGGCCGCCCGCTACTTGTTGCCCGCCTTCTTCTGCTTCTGCTGCATGATCTCCGAGTCCCTGCGGGGAGCGCGGCGGGGCTGGCGGCGGGGCCGGCACCGCCACAGGGCGAGAGCAGGGAGCGGGGCGGGGGGGGCCGGCGGGGCCGGCCCGGCGCTCACCTCTGCTTGCGGGCGGCAGCCGAGAGCCCGTCGTCCCGCCGCTTGCCCTTGCCCGAGTCGCTCTGCTTCTTCAGGTTCTTCTGCCGCGCCAGTTCGCGCTGGTTTCCGCCTGCCACGGCGCGGCCGCCTCAGCGCGACCGGCCCCGCGGGGCGGCCCGCCCCGCACCCCGCGCTCACGGGCTCCGCCACCCTCCCGCCCCAGTCCAGCCGCTGCCCGCAGGCCAGGTCCCGGCGCGCCACTGGGCCATGGCACGGCCGGGTCATGGCACGGCACCCTCAGGCCAGCCCACACTCGCGGGTCCCAGCCCAGGTCCCCCCCACACTCACGGGTCATGGCGCCGCTCCTTCCCACCTCCGCTCCGCCGCCACGTCCCGCACTGACCCCCCCCACGCCCCGCCCCGTGCCAGACTTTAAAGGCAGCCACAGCCAATCACAGTGCCGATCCCACCCTTGCTGCACTCCCACTGGTGCGTCTCTCTGGCCAGACCCCGCCTGATTGGCCGCGGGCTACGACCGCCGTTCTGCCGGCGGGGGCGAAAAAGCCGGGGATGGGGCGCACGCGCCACAGCCACCCCTCGCGCAGGGGGTGTGGCGCCGGGGCCACGCCCCATTGTGACGTCATGAGCCGGGCGGAAAGCGCTGCGGAGAGGGGGGAGCGATGCGGGACGGAGAGGAGAGGGAGCGGGATATACAGCCCCGCTCTTCCCCTCAGCCCTCCCGCCCGCCGTCCTCCCCCACTGCAGCGCTCTTCTCCACCCCAGGGAGTGCGGGGCAATGCAGGGAGGATGGTGCGGGAGCGTTCCTCTCTCCTCGGTCGGGCTCCGGTGCGCTGCGGGGCCGCTCAGACCGCTCCTTCCGCCGTGGGCGGTGCAGGAGATCTACAGGGAGGGACGGCCGTGGGTGCTACCCACGCCAAGACGGTGCGGGACGGGTATCCATCCCCGCACAGCCAAATTCGCCTACGCACCCGGGGCTCGGCGGCGGCATCGGGTCGTGGCGGGGGTCCTGCGAGGCGGTGCTAGATGGGGCACTCTGGCGCTTCGCTAGCCGTGAGAGCTCGGCGTGGATCACCTGCGGGCGGAAGGGCAGCTGTGGCGAACAGGGCTCCAGTGGGACTCCCGACGGTCCCGGCTCCTGCGGGATCTCCTCCCGCCCCACTGCTCCCGGCACTGGCTCTTGCGAGAGCCCCGTCCGTCCCATCGCTCCCGGTACCAGCCTGCGGGACCCACCCCCTCCCGCCCCCGCACCTTGCTGGCCGGATCCAGCTCCAGGGCTCTCCTCAGGACGAGCGCAGCTTCTGCGTCCCGGCCCTGCTCCGCCAGCAGCTACAGGCAGAGGAGTTGGGGGTAGCGGGCGGCCGGGCCGAGGGGTGCCAAGAGGGGCGGAGCGGGGCGGGTCCCACCTGCCCCCGCCGGAGCAGTGCCCGGCCGTTGTCGGGGCTGATCCGCAGGGCCGCCTCGCAGGCTGCCAGCGCCTCCTCCACCCGCCCCAGTTTCAGCTCGGCGGCCGCGCAGTTGTTGAGGCACTTCACGCGCTGCTCCTGCAGCTCCTCTTCCTCCTCGGGCCCGGGAGGCGCTGCGGGGCGAGCGGCGGTCTCAGCGTCCCGGCCCCGCCGCCCCGGGCCCTCCCTCCCGGCCGGTCTCACCGGTAGCGGGGCCATCCAGGGCGTGCAGGGCCAGCCGGTACGAGCGCAGCGCCGCCGCGAAGTCGGCCCGCGCGAAATGGAAGTTGCCCCGCTCCCTGCGCTGCGAACCCAGGCGCAGGCGGGCGGCGGGCGGCAGCGGCTGCGGGTCGGGGCCGTCCCGCACCTCCAGCAGCGTCACCTCGAACAGCAGCGGCGCCTCGGGCGGCACGTCGGGCTCCCTGCGGGCACAGCACCGGCTGCCCCCTGCCCGCCCCGGTCCCCTGCCCACCCTGCCTTCCCGGCCCCATCCACCTGCCCCTGTCCCCTGCCCGCCCCGGTCCGTCTGCCCTCCCGGCCCCTGCCTGATGGCTCCCCCTGCCCACCCGCCTTACCTGCCCGGGCGGCCATAGGCGTAGGGGCAGGCGGCGAGGAAGAAGGAGATCTCCCCGGGCTGCATGGTTGGGACGCCCAGCTCCAGCGCCTGCGGATAGGCATGGCGAGGCTAATGAGGCGCGGCGGCACCGGGCGGCGCTGAGCCTGCGCCGCACCGAACAGTGCATTGGTTTGAGCTCACCTGCACGACGTCCCCGTGGCCAGGCACGAAGGTGAGCCGCGGGTCCCGCTCCACCAGCCCGCCGTCCTCCAGGGCGCCCAGCACCTTCACCGACACCTCCTGGCCCGGCCGCGGCTGTGGCCCGCCCAGCCCGGCCCGCACCACGCGCTTCCGGAGCAGCCGGTCATCTGCGGGGGAGACGGCGCTGAGAGCCCAGCCTGGATCTCCGAAACCGGCACCCTTTGCCCGGCTTTCCCCGGGCCCCTCACAACCCGCGACTCCCGGCCTGGTTCGCCCCAGGGTTGCCCGAGGGCTCTCACCCGTCAGGTCGCTCCAGCCGTCGGCGGCGAAGAGTGGCCCGAAGCCGCCTGGCCCCGGCACCGCCAGTGCCTCCAGCCGCCGGTAGAAGAGCCGCTCCTCCTCGCGCACCGTCGGCAGCGCGATAGCCGTGTGGGGCAGCCGGAACCGCACCCGCCGGTCCCTGCCCGGCCCCCGCGGCCGCCCGCCTGCCCCTGTCTCCCTCTCCGGGGAGCCGCCGGGCGAGGGGCCCGGCATGCCCGCCCCTGCCCTGCCCCGCCTCGCCGCACGCCGCTACCACCTGGCCTCGGTCCGGGCGTCCCCGGGGCTCGGCGGCGGGTGCCCACGGCCCCCAGCACGCACAGGGCGCGTCGCCACCGGTTCCGCCGCGCCGCGACTGCCGGGGTCCGCCCGGGCCGGGGCCGCCGCCGAGCGCATCCCGCCGCGCCGTTACCTAATGCTGGGAAGCGGCTCAGGGGATTAGCCGGGGCCGGCGGCAAAAATAGCCGGCTCAGGACGAGCCCCGCCGCGGGGCTCCCGGCGCCCGCCCCGCCCGCCGCTGCCCCCCGGGACCGCCCGCCCGCCGCTGTCGCGCACGCCGTGCAATGCCGCGGGCGTAGCTGCGCGGGCATCTCCGGTACCGGGACGGCGGCCCGGGTCCCTGGCTCAGCTTCCTGCACGTGCACATCGCGGCGGCGGCGCCGCGGGCGCTGCGGGGCTGCGGGCGGCGGCAGCTGGGACCGGGCCTGGCAGGGGGAACCGGGCACCAGAGGGACTTACCGGCGCTCGCTGTTGTTGCAGAGAGCGCCGGGGCCCGTGATCGCCTTCCAGGGCAGCTGGGGAGTGAGGGGATTGGGGGGATCGGAGAGCCCAGGGCAGCCGGGATGGGGCGTGCAGGGGGGAGCAAAGAGGCTTTGGCCAGAAGGCCACGACAAACACAAGGACGTCGCAAGCCTGGGTGAAACCTCATGGCCTCAGGCTATCTCTGCTGCAGTTGCAGGGCATCCCCTGTCCCCTGCACCACATCATCCCCAGGGGCTTCCCAAAAGGCCCTTGGGATCTCCTCGGTGGGCCAGGGGCTCTGTTCCCACCAGAGCTGTGCAACTGCAAGCTCAACTTTGGAGAACGGGTCTTCCAGTAAGCCCAAGGTCCTGGCCAAGTTGGAGGAGAGGGGCTCCAGAGTTTTAACCCTTGTGATCTTCTGCTCCTTGCCAGATGCAGGTCCCAGGTGAGCAGTTCCTCCTCAGCAGAGATCCTGGATTACTTACAGGAAGAGAGCTTAGCACCCACTGCCACAGGCTCCCTGTTGCTTGGTGTAATTTGGCTCAGCCCCACAGCATGGAGGGATCGAGATGAGCTCCTGCCTCGTCGCCCATGGCTATAAGGTAAGTTTGTGCACAGCCCTGCCTGCTCACCGCCCTTCAGGTCTCAGCAGGAGCATGGGCCCTGCTCTGCCACGCAGGTGTCGCAGGCCCCAGGAGAATAGGCATTTCCTGGTTGCAGGAGGTGGTACCACACCGCCTGCTCCACAGAGCAGCATTTAGTGTAGACAGAGTACTGCGACTGCATGCTCATATCAGCAGCATGAGCTGGAGGTTTGTGCAACTGGAAGCCAAGACGAAGAGGCTGAAGCAAGGAACAGAGGAACACAAGGCAAGCAGGAGAGCCAGGCACCGTGGCACCGTACAGCCATGCTCTGGTCCTGGGTCCTGCCCACTGCATCTCTGGATTTCAGGTACTTGAAACTACAATTGTATATGAGTACCACCACCTCAAGAAGGTGAGGCTGGATGCAGGGCATGGACTGATTTCTCTTCTGGAGCTGATCCATATATATTTTTTCCTCTCCAGATGCATCCCAGCTACCAGCAAGAGAAGAATTGCTGTGAATACCTCCACCAGAAGCTGTCTCATACCAAAAGAATGGCTCTGCAGTTTGAAAGAAGTGAGAGGTCCTAGGCAAACTGCTGTTGCAGTTTTTTTCCTTCCTTATCCAGCCCTGTCTCTGAAGCAGTGCCTGCTGCTCCAGCTGTCCTGTAGCACCTGAAGCCAGCTCATTCCCTGCTCCCTGGGGGAGAGCAGGAGGCTGTGGCTGCAGGGGAGAGGCAGAGCCAGGCACTTGGAGACCTTTTGCTGAGGCCTGAGCCAGCCCAAGGGGGACGTGTTACTTTGGACGGTGGCTCAGTCCCCAGCTGCCACCACGTCTGGAGTCACAGTCCAGGGAGCAAAGCCAGGATGAGAACAGCTTCCCAGGCTCTCCCTGACTGAGGGCACTGCCCTACCCACCAATGAAGCAGTGCTCCAGTTTGGTGTTACAGGGGTAATTGTGAGCTGTCAGGAGAGCTTGTTGTGTTCCTGTTTCTTGCAGCAGTGCCTGGAGCCCACAGCCAGATGTGGGACTCCTGCTAGTCTGAGGTGCAGGGACCATTGGACATTATATGCTCCCCCCAAGGAGCCTCTAGACCTGTATTGGGCCACAGAGCACCTGCCAGAGCAGCAGAGCACAGGAGGAAGATGCTGTTTGAGCTACTGATGCAGCTGGGGAAGAAAGTGTTGTACTGCACAGCTGCTGTAGCCAGAGTAGTGTGTGCTAAGCCTTGTATGAGCTACTGTACCTGGAGAATTCCAGCAGCGATAAATAAGGTGCCCAGCCTTTTGAGTTGCGGGGGAGGAATCCAGAGATAGAGCAAGCCCTGGCTCTTGCCCTGGTAACTGTTGCCACACAGCAGTGCCCTCTTCAACTTGCATGCAGCACAAGAATCCAGAGTCAGAGCAACAGCCCCTCCCTGGTCAGCCCATCTCACTCCTGCCTTTCCCCAGAGGAAAGTTGGATATTCTGGTCAGTCACAGCCCACACCACCCAACCACAACACAGGGTTTATTCCTCTCCCTCCTGAAGAGTAACTCAGCTATCAGCCTGTTTCCTACCAAGAGACAAAATGATCTTACAATTAACTGGTCTTAACTGCCCTCACCACAGCCAAGCACCTGGCTATGAGAAACTCTCAGCCCAGGCCCTACCTGTGTTTGGGTAGAGTCTGTAGGAAGTAGCACTCCTCCCCTACACCTGACTACTTCTGCACCAGCTTCAAAGCTCATTTATTTCTGCTGCTGAGCAAGCCCCATGCCAGCCTGCTCCCTGTGCTTGCACTGCTCTGATCCAACAGTCACAGTGAGCACCACGTTCCTCTGAACTCACTGGGGCAGCACACAGACAGCAAAGGCACTTGTGATCAGAGTCCCAAAGCCCAAAATGTGTGTAAATGTAGCACCTGAAGCCCAGCACACTGGGACAGTTGCTGCTGCTATGTTCTGGAGGGACTGTGGTAGCTGAGGAAGGAGGAGAATAGGGTAGACGGCTGAGCTCAATGGTTAGGAACAGACGTGTGAGAGCTCACTGAAGGGAATGACTCACAGCAGAGAGCTGCTGTCTGTGAAGAGCAGGATCCCAGTGTTAGGTATGACAGGTCACCCCAGGACAGAGACACTTGGTCTTAAGGGGGTCATTTTATTGTTTCACTTCTCCAAATGTACAAAAAAAATTAGAAAATAACTGTACCCCCCACCCTTCCCAAACCACAAAACAAACCAGTCTGGGGAGCCCAACAACAGTGCAGCTAAGAGACGGCAGGAAATTAAACATTACTAGATACAGCAGCTGAGGGCCATCAGCCCATTGGCTCTCCACAGCCCAGAACTGGCCCCAGTCTGCCCAGTGCTTCCCCAATTCACAAAGAGCTCATCCTGACCAGATAGCAAGTGGGTACTTTACAAATCCTCCTTCACCTTCTTCTTGGATTTCTTGGATTTATCTTCCTCCTGCAGCACAGGAGTGTTGGTTGCCTCCCGCTTCAGGTAGCTGATGAAGTCACTCACTTCTCTGCCCCCCTGCAGAAAACAGATGACAGTGAGGCAGGGCCTGTACCTGCCCTGGGCTTCCCCTCTGCTGAGAGGGGTTCAGGTGCCAGGCAGGAGACCCAGGTGACTGCAAGCATAGCTCTCCCCAGGGCCTGCAGCATGCAGTGCAACATTCCCAGCAGGTACCACCAGGTGTGTTCCCAGGGCAACAGGACACAGAGCCACCCCCAGCTCCAGAGAGGCTTGAGTGTAATTTGGACACCTGGATGCTCTTCACTTCTTTATAAAGCAGGAAGAACAGCAAAATACTCACCTCATACTTCTTTGGACTCTGCTTCTTGCCAGCTGGAGCAAAATAGATGGTGGGGAAGCTGGGGAGAGAGAAGGGACACCTGAGCTCCTGACATGCTTTGATTTCTGTCAGACCAGCCCATACGGAAGGGACTTGCACCCCACACTGCCCTGGTTTAACATGGCACAGCTTTGGCAGCTCGGAGGCAGCAGGTGTGGCCTCCAAGGGCCGGGCCAGGTCTGCAGAGCTCGCTGAGCTCACAGGTCCAAGTTTGCTGGCTGACTGCTTTTGGAACAGCAAGTCCAGATTTGTTTTCACACTGCCAGGAACAGAATCACAGCAGATTCCAAAGCAGCAGGGCAGGCCTCCAGGCAGAGCCAGGACACCAGAATCCTGGAGAATCCAGGCAGATCAATGTCCTTTTCTTCCACTCTTCATTTCTCCAAATCAAGCCATTGCTCAGCAGTCGCATGTCAGTCCTCACACACACCCTCCCTGTGAGGCTCTTCCAGCTCTAGTGCTGTAGCCGATGGCAGACAGAGCCGGACCCACCCACTAACACATGGAGTCACAGCAGTCAGACCTACCCTCGGACTTCATAGGGAGAAGGCACATCATTGGCTGTAGCATCCATTTTGGCAATGATGATATTGGGATCTTTGCTGAGCTGTGGGTAGAATGAGCCCATTAGTAACCAATCCCAAACTCCAGGAACCCAGCAGTCAGCAACGGCTGGGATAGCAGTGTCAGAGGACAGCACACAGGAGATGCCATCTCACCATCCCTTCCCAAATGGGAGACTATCATCATGCAGATGGAAAAGATCCAAAAAGAAGCTTGGCCAGTTGAGGCCAGTCACTGAATCAGCCACAGCCAAGGGCAACAGACTAAACCTACCACTGTGACTGCTACCACAGATCCTGCTGATGGACATCTGCACTCACCAGATGCCAAAACTCCAAGTCCTCAGGAAGGCACAGTTATGTCCCATTATCACAGAGGCTACAAACAACCTGCAGGATTGTTTAGTGCTGCAAAATTCTAGTTCACTTTTGCAAGAGTTCCAGACCTACCTTCTCCCCCAATTCTTTGTATTTGGGCTCCAGAT